GTGGGAGTCACCTGGGTGGTGGTCCTGTCCCTGCTTTGCCGCCTCAGTCACTCTGAGTCTTGGCCCCGCCCCGCCGCCCCCGCCTTCAGCACTAGGGACAGCGACCAGAGCTGAGGTCTGGACCCTCGCCCCCTTCAGCGTCCCTATTTTTTCCTGATAGTCATGCTGAACTAGGCAGGTGCTAAGGAGGAGGTGTGGGGATGGGAGATAGCAGAGCTCGGCTTCTCCCTCAGACTGGCCCCGATACTTAGAATATAATTTCCCAGATCTCCAGCAAGCAGGACTGGAGGAGGCAGGGGTCCCAAACTCCGGTACTTCCTGTGGTCCGGTTGGGGTCCCGGGTTCCTGAAAGAGGAAATCCAGGTCTCTGGAGATCCCCTGATATCTGCTTGCCCCTTCTGGTGCCCCCAGCTTGCCAAGGCACGGAGGACCTCCGGCAGGGGATACCCGCCCAGGAATTCCCAGGCTAGATTGGAGGAAGTGACTCTCCCGCCCCACCAAGGGATCCCTGGGCTGGAAATGAAGTGACCGTGGAGGGTGGTGCGGGCCGGGTCCCGGTGTCGCTGCCCGCGAGGGTGGGATTGATGTACCCTGCCCTCCCGGCCAAGCCCCCAATACCGGAAGTCGCTGTAAGGGTGGATGATCCAGGCCCCCGCTGACTTCACTCTCTCCTGCTCGATTTCCACTGCTTTGTGGCTGCCGAACACCCGAAGGGAGAACTTGTTGACCGTAGGTTGGAGCAGCGTCCCAAGGTGCCTTCTCTTAGGCTCAGACTCAGATCCGGGGATAGGACCTGAGGCCGCGGTCGCAGGCCGGGGAGCAACGGGAGGCACCTTGGGGGCCTCCAGCCCAGGGGTCGCCCCTTCGCTGGCCCCCGCAGCCGGCCCCTGCTCCGCCTCCATGGCGCCCACCCCGCTTACACGCTCGGCCTCCTAGAGCCCTATGTGGCCATCAGGTACCCCCAACCCCTCCAGAGTGGGAGTCGGCGCAGCCCCGCGGGTTCCAGCGGAGGCGTCGTAGGCTCGGAACCGCCGGCGCGCGGGGCGGAGGGGGTGTGCGCTAGACTGGCGGGCGGCGGGCTGGCTGCGCGGCGCCCCCTGGCGAGGGCGGCGCGAAGACCGGGCGGGGCTGGGAAGCCGGGATCCTGGAGGAACTCCGAGACGGGCGTGGCTTAGCAAGGAAGGCGGGGCGCGCAGCCTGAGCCAGGGAAAGGCGTGGCCTAATGTTAGCCTTTCATCCACTGAGAGCCAGGGAGGAGGAGCCTCCTGCAGTGGCGGGAAAATCGGACGCGGATGTGTAGCTTGAGGGATTTGGGACCAATGGAAGAAGTGGAAATGGCTTTTGTGATTCTTCCCCACTCTCGCCCAGGGACTTCTGTCCTGCTTCCGTGTTCTCTCAACACTGTCCTAGGCATATTCTTGTCTTTTTGGTCTCCTCCGAACTGCTTCCCCAAGTATTTAATTCCCTAATTCATTCTGTCAGCCTTCACCAAGTGCAACTCTGTCTGTCATTGAGTGGATATAAAAGTCCTACTCTTAGCATCTCCATGTAGTAATGGAAAACAACACAAAACAAAACAAAAACAAAGGCCTAGCCATAAAGCCACTGCTCATCTGTGCCCAAGGACAGACAGGTAAATTGCAGCGCTATGCGAAGTGCTATAAACTCCTAAATATCTCAGATTCTTCCCTTCATCTCCAATTCTACCCTTCATCTCCAATTCTTATTGCCACTGCCTCATGTCAAGCCCTAAGGATTTTTTCACCTAAATTACTTCAGAAACCTCTAAAAGAGTCTTCGACTTCTTCCAGGCGAATTCTTCTTCCATTCCCTGCCAGTTACTTTCCTAAAATCCAACTATGGCTATGTCACTTGCTTGAAGTCCATCAGGCTTTCCCATCTTCTACCGGGTACATTTAAGCTCCTTAGCATGGTGTACCAGGCCCCAAAAATTTGGACCTAGTTTCAACAGTCTGTCTTCTGACCGTCCCCCTCGTGCAAGCCAGAGCCCCAATCATGCTGAAAGACTTTGTGCCTTGTCTCTATGCTTTTGCAAATATTTTCTCTGCCTGGTATTCTCCTCTAATTCACTTTCAAACACTTGGTTCAGATCTCACCTTCTCTAGGAAACCGAGAAACACATTTCCAGCTCTCCTTTCCCCAGGTAGGGTCTATTCTAGAGCCTTTTTTTTTTTTTTTTTTTTTGAGATGGAGCCTCCCTCTGTCGCCCAGGTTGGAGTGCAGTGGCCAGATCTCAGCTCACTGCAAGCTCCGCCTTCCAGGTTTACGCCATTCTCCTGCCTCAGCCTCCCAAGTAGCTGGGACTACAAGCGCCTGCCACATCGCCCGGCTAGTGTTTTGTATTTTTTAGTAGAGACGGGTTTTCACCGTGTTAGCCACGATGGTCTCAATCTCCTGACCTTGTGATCCGCCCGTCTTGGCCTCCCAAAGTGCTGGGATTACAGGCTTGAGCCACTGTGCCCGGCCTATTCTAGAGCTTTTTTACAGCAGCCAGGGCACCACTGTTTTGAGCAGCTCATGTCACAGGGATACCATTATTATTATTATTTTAAGAGATGAGGTCACACTATGTTGCCCGAGCTGGTTTTGAACTCCTGAGCTCAAGTGATCTTCCTGCCTTGGCTTCCCAAAGTGCTAGGATCACAGGCGTGAGCGTGGTCTCATTATTTATTTACAGGTTTGTCTCTCCTGTTAGATTGTGAAACTCTGAGAAACAGGAATCTTGCACCTGGCACAATGCTGGACACATAGTGGACATTCAGTAAATGCTTGTTGAATGAATTAATAATCTAAGAAAATGTTCCAGGAGGAGGAAGTGAAATCTTTACTTCTCTCTCCCCGACTCTTCATTGATTGCCCTTCATCTTCTATTCCAGAGAACTTCTCTAAACTATGTCTGGTTATCTGATCTAACCTCCATCTGACTATCCTTCATCCAGCTCCTCTCTAATATTTCCTGACTTTATTTATTTACTCATTCTAGAGTCAAGGTCAGCTCTGTTGCTCAAGCTGGAGTGCAGTGGTGCGATCATGACCCACTACAGCCTCAAAGCAATCTTCCCACCTCAGTTTCCTGAGTAACTGGGACTACAGGTGTGAACCACTTTGCTCAGCTTCCTGACTTTAATATAGTTATGCTCAGATTATATTATTTCTCTTCCAATTTACCTTTCTGACCACTTCTCAATTCCTTCTGTAGAGTAACTACTTCTCCTTCTCATTTTCTTTTTTTCTTTTATTTATTTATTTATTTTTTTTTTTGAGAAAGAGTCTCACTCTGTCACCCAAGCCGGAGTGCAGTGGCACGATCACGGGTCGCTACAGCCTCGACCTCCCCAGGCTCAGGTGATCCTCCCGCCTCAGCCTCCCAAGTAGCTGGGACTACAGGCGGGAGACACCATGACTGGCTAATTTTTATTTTTATTTATTTATTTATTTATTTATTTATTTATTTATTTATTTATTTTTTAGACACAGTCTCACTCTGTTGCCCAGGCTGGAGTGCAGTGGCACCATCTCGGCTCACTGCAACCTCCGCCTCACGGATTCAAGTGATTCTCGTGCCTCAGCCTCCAGAATAGCTGATATTACAGGGACCCACCATCGCACCTGGCTAATTTTTGTATTTTTAGTAGAGACGGGGCTTCACCATGTTGGCCAGGCTGGTCTTGAACTCCTGTGCTCAAGTGATTCACCTGCCTGGGCCTCCAAAAGTGTTGGGATTATAAGCATGAGCCACCACACTTGGCCTAATTTTTGTATTTTTTGTAGAGTCTGGGTTTCGCCCTGTTGTCTAGGCTGGTCTCGAACTCCTGTGCTCAATTGATCCACCCACCTTGGCCTCCCAAAGTGTTGGTATTAGTATTACAGGTGTGAGCCACCTCACCCAGCCTTCCTGTTCTTTTTTAAGATTTAGTAAACTGGCCAGGCACGGTGCCTGATGCTTGTAATCCCAGCACTTTGGGAGGCCGACGGGGGAGGATTGCTTGAGCTCAAGGGTTCAAGACCAGCCTGGGTAACAAAGTGAGGCACTATCTCTACAAGAAAAAAAAAAGCTGGGCCTGGTGATGCGCGCCTGTAGTAAACATATGTGTGTGTACATATATATGTTTTGTTTTGTTTTGTTTTGTTTGAGACAGAGTCTCGCTCTGTCACCCAGGATGGAGTGCAATGGCATGATCTTGGCTCACTGCAACCTCAGCCTCCCGGGTTCAAGCGATACTCCTGCCTCAGCCTCCTGAGTAGCTGGGATTACAAGCGCACGCCACCACGCCCGGCTGATTTTTGTATTTTTAGTAGAGACGGGGTTTCACCATGTTGATCAGGCTAATCTCGAACTTCTGACCTCGTGATCCGCCGGCCTCGGCTTCCCAAAGTATTGGAATTACAGACTTGAGCCCCCGCGCCCAGCCCTAGTAAACTTACATTTCTCACACATTATGTAAGCCACTTTAGGATACAGTTCTCAAGTGAGTCCCCTTTTTCGGCACCCGATTCTCTAACCCTCCATTGCTCAAACCTTTCCCCCATGGCTGTGACCTCACCCCGAGTCGTGCATAACTTTTGCTGATGACAAAAGGTGGCAGACTTTTGCTATGGGGATAGGTAGGTGAAGTGTTTTAAGAAATGGTTATTTTCAAGCTATGCAGAGGAATGAGACTTCACCATCAAGCCTCACTAGAGTCGGGCTTGCAGAGCAGCGACACTGTATTGACAATGACAATCCTTTCTTTTAAACTCCAAACCTAACTAAGCCACACGTCTCCATGCAAAGGGTAAAAGATTGAAGAGGGAGTGGGAAAGGACAGGAGGCGGGGCATAGCAGGCCTGGAAGGCTTCCAGCTTGTCCGTGTGGACCCTCCTCGCCCCTATGAACTTCCGCCCCCAGTACCTCCGAGGCTCTGACAGGCTGACGCCCGCCAGCTACGTGAGCGCGTGGTGGCGTGCGCGGTCCTGGGGGCGGTGCCCAGGGGGTAGCTGGGAAGCGACGCAAGACGTGAGTCCGTGCGTGCGTGCTCGCTCACGGCGGCGGCGGCGGAGCGGAGAGGCCAGAGCCGGAGACCGAGCTGGGATCGGGCCCCGGGCGGGGGCGGTGCGAGCGGCGCCAAGCAGATCTTAGGGGCGGGGACGGAGCCGGGGCGGGCGGGACTGAAGCGGAGCCCGGGAACGGGGCGGGAGGTCCCAGGGTCCCGGGTTGGGGGTGTGGAGCAGCACTTCGTCGCCGCGGGGGTGCCGGGACTCCGGCCGCAGTGCCGCCGCCATCACGGACTTCCTGTGGGACAAGCGCACGGGCCTCGCCGCCAGAACGGTGAGCGCGCGGGTTGGCTGACCGCGGGGCCGCGCGAAAAGATGGCGACCGCGGGGCGGGCGGGGTTAGGCTTGGATTGGGGGCAAGGGACGGGGGCGAGATTTGGAGAGGAGGAGAGTTGAGACCTACGAAGCGGCGAAGTAGGGAGATGAGGGGAAAGGAGGTCGGCCTGCATTAGATGTACTGAGAAGACCTGTAGGAAACTTGGGCGGAGCCAGACTAGAAGGGGTGATAGAGTAAGGATGGGAGTGGTTCCAGAGATGTGAAGGAGTGGAATATCAAAGTTGGACTCAGGGGTCCAATCAAAGCTGGAGGGGAGGAATACATCACCGTGTCACTTGGAGCATGCAGGAAGAATTTGCCTGTAGGAGTTCTGCATTTTCTGAGTAAGAAAGGAAAAAGCAAAAGATTTCGAACTTTAGAAAGGTAGGCTAGTGATGCTTTGAGGGGAAAGTGCTGTGAGGCCGTTTGATGGTAGTATGTGGTGAGATGGCATTTATGTGGCTATGCTGATTAGGATGGCTGTGCTGGGAAAATCTTGTGCTTGCATCTTGGTATGCTCCCGGCTCCAGTTGCACCAAGAATGCATCAAATACCACCCTCCTCAATTTGGGGAGGTTGGAAAGAAGTGATACAGAATGGTGGTCAGACATTGGAATCGTTAAACCTTTTGCATACCCGATTCTCATGCACCACCACCAAGACTTCTGTCCCTGGGCCTGTTTCATTTTATTCTGCCTTCTTATTGTCATCTTCCTGGATTGTGACAGTGATTTTTTTCTTTTTTCCTTAAAGGAAAAAAAGGATTTGTGAACCATCCCATTCCAATTCCATTAACTGGAAGGTGGCCAGCTGTCAGCTAAGTAGGGCTGATATTAATAAAAAACCACTTACTGGCCAGGCGCGGTGGCTCACATCTGTAATCCCAGCACACTGGGAGGCCAAGGCGGGCGGATCACCTGAGGTTGGGAGTTCGAGACCAGCCTGACCAACATGGAGAAACCCTGTCTCTACTAAAAAATACAAAATTAGCCGGGCATGGTGGTGTATGCCTGTAATCCCAGCTACTTGGAAGGCTGAGGCAGGAGAATCGCTTGAACCCGGCAGGCGGAGGTTGCGGTGAGCCGAGATTGCGCCATTGCACTCCAGCCTGAGCAACAAGAGCAAAACTCCGTTTCAAAAACACACACACACACACACAAAACAGTTATTCTCTACATCTCAAGCACAAGAGTGGAGGGGCCAGATGGGATGCTGACTGTATTTTGTGGCCTACTACCCTAAAATCTCTCAAGGTAGAGTTGGCCAAAGATGTGAGAGATGATTAAATTAATTCAAAGGGCCCGACCCAGATCCTTGGAACTGATAGTATTTGGCATTTACCTGGTATATGTAGAAACCTGGGAGACTGGATTCCTACCCTCAGGACACTGATAGTCTGCTTGGGGAGATAAGACGTACTCTTAGTAAGAGTGTACGACATTTATCATAACTGTAAACCAAAGCTTTATTGACTTATGAGGAACTCAGCATCGCACAGATCTGTATCTTAGATCCTGACCGGGGATACATTGTGGCAGTCTCTATCTTCGTCATACACTTCCCATTGTAATTAACTGTGTCCTAGACCTGAAAGTCTTCATGGAGCTGTGTGTGAAGAAAATAAGGATAGAACACTTGAACTGGCTGGGTGCGGTGGCTCACGCCTGTAATCCCAGCACTTTGGGAGGCTGAGGTCGGGAGTTTGAGACCATCCTGGCCAACATGGTGAAACCCCGTCTCTACTGAAAATTTAAAAATTAGCCAGGAGTGGTGGCATGTGCCTGTAATCCCAGCTACACAGGAAGCTGAGGCAGGAGAATTGCTTGAACCCGGGAGGTGGAGGTTGCAGTGAGCTGAGATTGTGCCACTGCACTCTAGCCTGGCCACACAGGAAGACTCCGTCTCAAGAAAAAAATAACACTTGAACTGAGTGGAGGGTAATGAGGGATGGGTTTGGGGGCTTTCTAGAGTTTCAGCCAGAGTTAGTAGGTGGCTATACTCCAATAAGGAGGAATTGTAAGTACAGGGGAAGACTGAGGAAGTTGTTCGTGGTAAAAAGAGGCAGAAATAAAAGAGGGGAAAGCAGCTTAGCATCTTTGGAGCAGCCAGTCCTTGGAGGAGACTTCTGAAAACTCGGAACTTTCCTATTTCCGCTTTCCTTTCCCTTCCAGATGCCTCATCCTCGAAGGTACCATTCCTCAGAGCGAGGCAGCCGGGGGAGTTACCGTGAACACTATCGGAGCCGAAAGCATAAGCGACGAAGAAGTCGCTCCTGGTCAAGTAGTAGTGACCGGACTCGACGGCGCCGGCGAGAGGACAGCTACCATGTCCGTTCTCGAAGGTGAGGCCTCAGGAAGAGATACTCAAATACAGGGTCACTCACTCATTATTTGTTCAACAAATACTAGTTATATGCTAAAACTGTTCCATTAAATAGTTGGCTGAAGGTAGTGTCGGGATAGATAACCAAAGAAGCCATTTGGGCTGCAGTGTTAAGTGTTAGAATACATAATGAGGAACTGAGGATGTACCCAGAGCGTTTGGTTGGAGTGGGGCAGGATGTGTAATTCAGAGAATACATTGCAGAGAAAGCGACATCTATATATGTCTGGAGGACAAGTAAGAGTCAGGTGGGGGAAGTGTCTTTGGGCAGAGGGAAAGCATGTGCAAAGGACTGGGAGCTACGGGTAACTAATAAGCTGACAGATAATACAAAGTTAGATCTTTGTGTTTTTAATATTTTATTTTTTAAATTTTAAAATATTATTTATTTTTGAGACAGTTTCACTCTGTTGCCCAGTCTGGAGTGCAGTGGCAAGATCTCAGCTCACTTCTACCTCTGCGGCCCCAGGTTCAAGCGATTCTTGTGCCTCAGCCTCCCAAGTAGCTGGGACTACAGACATGCGCCATCATTCCTGGCTAATTTTTTTTTTTTTTGTATTTTTAGTAGAGACAGGATTTCACCATGTTGGCCTCGAGCTCCTGACCTCAAGTGCTCCACCTGCCTTGGCCTCCCAAAGTGCTAGGATTACAGGCGTGAGCCACCGCGCCTGGCGCAGTTTTAATACTTTAGTGGCATGTTCAGTGGAAAGAATGGGTTACGGATGGTTTAGAGCAAGGGTGGATTTCAGTCAGGAAAGCTTGAGAAAAAAAAATGGCTCTTGGCCGGGCGCGGTGGCTCAAGCCTGTAATCCCAGCACTTTGGGAAGCCGAGACGGGCGGATCACCAGGTCAGGAGATCGAGACCATCCTGGCTAACACAGTGAAACCCCGTCTCTACTAAAAAATACAAAAAACTAGCCGGGCGAGGTGGTCGAGGTGGCGGGCACCTGTAGTCCCAGCTACTCGGGAGGCTGAGGCAGGAGAATGGCGTAAACCCGGGAGGCGGAGCTTGCAGTGAGCTGAGATCAGGCCACTGCACTCCAGCCTGGGTGACAGAGCGAGACTCCGTCTCAAAAAAAAAAAATGGCTCTTTCTTTCTTTGTATCACTGCAGTGGGAAAAAGCCCCCTGTAGGGAGTGGTTCTGCAGATGCCTTTTTAGAGGTTTTGGTGACATGGCAGATGCGCTTGTTACCTCACTTCTCTGGTCCCTTGGTCCTCTCAGTGACTCAACAAAGTGTCTGAGAACAGTTTTCTTTCTTTTTTGTTTTTTTTGAGACAGAGTCTCGCTCTGTCGCCCAGGCTGGAGTGCAGTGGCGCGATCTCGGCTCACTGCAAGCTCCGCCTCCCGGGTTAACACCATTCTCCTGCCTCAGCCTCCTGAGTGGCTGGGACTACAGGCGCCCGCCACCTCACCTGGCTAGTTTTTTGTATTTTTTAGTAGAGACGGGGTTTCACTGTGTTAGCCAGGATGGTCTCGATCTCCTAACCTTGTGATCCGCCCGTCTGGGCCTCCCAAAGTGCTGGGATTACAGGTTTGAGCCACCGTGCCCGGCCGTGAACAGTTTTCTAGCATTACTCTTCGTCCTCACTAAGGCAAGACTTTGTCACAGGGTACGGTAGGGAATGTGGTCTGAACAGATACGCCTAATTGGTTTTTGTTATCCAACAGCAGTTATGATGATCGTTCATCTGACCGGAGGGTGTATGACCGGCGATACTGTGGCAGCTACAGACGCAACGATTATAGCCGGGATCGGGGAGATGCCTACTATGACACAGACTATCGGCATTCCTATGAATATCAGCGGGAGAACAGCAGTTACCGCAGCCAGCGCAGCAGCCGGAGGAAGCACAGACGGCGGAGGAGACGCAGTCGGACATTTAGCCGCTCATCTTCGGTGAGTGCCAGCCCAGGCCCTTCCTCTCCCCACTCTTCTGCAGGCCCTCTAGGACTCTGGTAAGTGAGAAGTATCCTTGTTCTCAGCTGAACATTGGGGCATGAACACTGAGGTGGGCACTGAGTTTGCCTACCCTCTTAGGAGCTCTCCGACTCTTGAAGGGCCCTGGAATCTGCTTTGGAGATGGATGGGCACGGAGCATTTGTGACCCCCAGTGCTCTCCCTGGCATGTTGGGCTTATTGTGTTGGGAGCAGCTTCTCCGCCCCAGCGGCCTCCACTCTTTAATGGGGACCTTGCTTGTGAACTGCCTTTTTCCCCCAAGCCCTGGGCTCTGTAGCCCCCTTGGCAGGCGGGCTTGGGTGGGGGCAAGGGGAGATCTGTGTCTGCCCGGAAGGGCATTGTGTAGAGCATGGGGTTGTGGGTGACATTGGCAACAACACCACTTCCCTGCTCTGCCCATGCCTCTCCCTGTTCCTGTTTTGGGTTTGGGGACTTGGGATTATGCGCCGCTCTCTCTTCTCACACCGATCCACCTTACTGCATCTGACGTGTTCCCTTCCACTGTCCCCCATCATCGTCTGTCCCCCCTGGCTGGGCGCCTGTGACCGGTGACCCCTCTACCACCCACCCCGCCTCCCTCCGGCCCCCGCTCCGACACCTGGCTTGCTCCGACCCCCCCTGCCCCCCGACAGCAGCACAGCAGCCGGAGAGCCAAGAGTGTAGAGGACGACGCTGAGGGCCACCTCATCTACCACGTCGGGGACTGGCTACAAGAGCGATGTACAAGCCAAATCGTAACAATCCTATAGCCTGTAATGGTCCCATAGCCATCCTAACGTCCCAAGCCAACCTGAGTCACAGCCTCTTGCCTTTTCTCAGTGGTGTTGTTTATCTGGGTGGTTTGAGTTGCTGTTGAGAATTGACCTCTGTTGTCCACTCCCAGCTCTCACGGCCCCTGGGTTAAAGGTGGTGGGAATCACGCAGGGGTTTTCTTCCCCTGTGACCATCTGTATCTGTTCCCCTTCCTTCATCTCCACCCCAGGTTGCTGTCCCCATTTTTCTTCCAACTCAGCTCATTCCCCACCTTCTCTCCCTCCCTCTCCCCGACCCTGCTCTCTTTCATTTCAGATGAAATCGTTAGCACCTTAGGAGAGGGGACCTTCGGCCGAGTTGTACAATGTGTTGACCATCGCAGGTAACTGTCAGTCCCTCCCTACTATGTGGGGATAAAGAGATGGTGGGGGTTATATGGGGCTATTTTGCTAATTAACCTAAGGTAGGATTTCTTAGTCCCCCTACAGCCCTGTTCATTTTGAGACATTCTTGAGAACCCAGCAAAAGCCTCTCCTGCCAACTTACAGGGGTGGGGCTCGAGTTGCCCTGAAGATCATTAAGAATGTGGAGAAGTACAAGGAAGCAGCTCGACTTGAGATCAATGTGCTGGAGAAAATAAACGAGAAAGACCCTGACAACAAGAAGTAAGCAAGCAAGAAAGTATGTAGGGAGGCTGAGAGGCCCAACCCCTACACAGGAGAGACTTCTAGATCTGGTTTAGGCAGACGGGAATCCTAGCCTTCTCATTCATTCATCTTTTGTTCATCATCTTAAAGTAGTAGAACATCATCTTAGAGTAGTAGAACATCAGAATAGGAATGTGGGGGCCTATGACATGCCTTAATCCACTCCCCTTGTTTTCAGGGAAGTTAGATTGCTCTGTAGTTTGACCCCAGCCTAGAATGGGTTCTGTAGAGATATACACTGGACATAGCCCTAGGACTGAGCATCAACCTCATCGAACAATGAATTAAGCTTTTATAAGTAGAACTATGCTGATAAGGCCACAGACATTTATGCAGTAATATCTTGTTCACATATATTCACAGTCCAAAAATAGAATAAGGACATTAAACCAAGATATGAGGCCAGTAGGTATAAACAGGAGCCCAGTGGTAGCTGGTGGTGAATGAATATCAGGAGTTGGGCTGGGGTTGGGGTTTAGGATGGACAGTTTGATGATCCAGGATCTGTACTGTTTGGAACTTAGCACTCAACAGCTCTTCAGTAAATAGTTTTTTGAACTATTTAAAATGATGCAGGAAGATATTTTGAAACTTGGCAAGTAGTACCATTCTTCTTGGGTCTTGCAGAGGGTATTCCCTAGCTGAACTGAATTTTGGTGTTAGTATTAACTGGCATGGTTTTACACAAGTTTGTGGAATCAACAGCTATGAAGTACCTCCTTGTTGGAGGGCTGATGGGCAGATGGGAGCTCATCAGACAGCCCCCCTTCCCCCATCTCTCTTCTCAGCCTCTGTGTCCAGATGTTTGACTGGTTTGACTACCATGGCCACATGTGTATCTCCTTTGAGCTTCTGGGCCTTAGCACCTTCGATTTCCTCAAAGACAACAACTACCTGCCCTACCCCATCCACCAAGTGCGCCACATGGCCTTCCAGCTGTGCCAGGCTGTCAAGTGTGAGTGGGGTGGGCTGAAATGGACTCTCGGGCATCCCCTCCCTTCATTGGATGTCTCTGTCGGTTGTGCACTGGTGAAGCCCCTAAACAGTCAGCTCTCTGTTATCTGCAGTTGTTTTACTGTCATCTTGAAATGTCTTCTGACTTAGCTCCTTGACTAATGTCTTTATTGTCACTGACTGCTCTTACTCTACACCTAACCTAGCAGCAGCTAGAAGAGAAAGCCTTTGGAATCAAAGCACTTAATTACCCTCCCCTTTTCCTTTCCTCCCCTTCTTGGGAAAGCATCAGTCAGACAGCAAATATAAAGAAACAAAAATACACTCCTTAGGCTAAAGGCTTACATGTGTCTGGGATGAGATGTTCATGCAAAGCAAAGCAGATGTGAACACAGAGTATGTAGTTCAGTTAAGGGGCAAGGTGGGGAATTCAAAGAAATACATTATTCCTCTGGAGTCATCAAAACAATACAGTTTCACAGAACTGAGTTCACATAATGCCAGCTAGACACATGTCAAAGTGTATACACACTATAACTCAAAGCAAACTCTTTTTTTTTTTTTTTTTTTTTTTACATCAGTTGAGATACATATGTATCTTACTGTAGATAGAGCAGAGCTTCTTAGACCAGGCATTCCATTTAGACGTAGAGCAGAAAGCAGCCCTCTTGTGATTCTGGACCTGTCTCCTCACTGGCTTTGCCCTAGGTAACCAGGCCTGGGGTCAGCTGATACCAGTTAGCTCTGGCCACCTGCACCAAGCCTGACCTGGCCTTCTCCCCTACAGTCCTCCATGATAACAAGCTGACACATACAGACCTCAAGCCTGAAAATATTCTGTTTGTGAATTCAGACTATGAGCTCACCTACAACCTAGAGAAGGTAAGATGGATAGGGTCTGCCCTTGGTTACTGGGGGTAGGCAGCTGGGCCACTTTGCCTTCTGCCGAGCCCTTTCTTTTATTTTGTCCTGCCACATTTTCTCCCTGTCTGGTTCCAAGTGGGTAAAACTAGATAGGTTGAAAGGGAGAGATCTCTTAAGACTTAAATTGGGAGATAACTTGTACAGGGGACTTCAGATAACTTTCCAGTAGAGTGAAAAATTTTAAGGTTCTGTTTGGACTGACTGACTGATTTATTTATTTATTTGAGATTGGAGTCTCGCTCTGTTGCCCAGGCTGATGTGCACTGGCATAATCTTGGCTCACTGCAACTTCTACCTCCCAGGTTTAAGTGATTCTCCTGCCTCAGCCTCTGGAGTAGCTGGGATTACAGGCACCCGCCACCATGCCTGGCTAGTTTTTGTGTTTTTGGTAGAGATGGGGTTTTGCCATGTTGGCCAGGCTGGTCTCGAACCCCTAACCTCAGAGGATCCACCTATCTCAGGCTCCCAGAATGCTGGGATTACAGGTGTGAGCCACAGCGCCTGGCCTGGACTTCTTTTTTGAGATGTATATTTCTGTGAGGTAGGAAAGCTTGGCTCCCTTGACTAGAGATGATAGAGATCTCAGACCTAAAGAAGCTCTCCCTCCCTTGACCCCTTTGCTGCATGTTATATATTTTCAGAGAAACCCCTTTGCTACATGTTACATTTTTTTCAGGAAAACCCATTTGCTACATGTTACATGTTTTCAGAATAACTGTATATCCGGCACTTGGGTGTAGTCTTCAGATGTTTACAGATGTGCACGCTGTTCTATAATCATTTCTTAATCCTTTTGCTCCCCTACTTCTAAAAGTATTATGCTGGATGTGGTGGAAGCTGTAAAACAGGAAATTTCCCAGGGCTTGTGGGGCCAGGCAGGAGATCACAGTAGCTTTTTTAAGGCTCAGAAGCACGGTAGAGAATACTGGTGGAATCTCAGTCTGGGTGCAGAGGTTCATCCTCTTCCTCCTCTGCTCCTAGAAGCGAGATGAGCGCAGTGTGAAGAGCACAGCTGTGCGGGTGGTAGACTTTGGCAGTGCCACCTTTGACCATGAGCACCATAGCACCATTGTCTCCACTCGCCATTACCGAGCACCAGAGGTCATCCTTGGTAAGGGAGGGCAAGGCTGTCCAAGTGTGTGAGATGATGTGGTGAGGGTGGGGCCACCTAAGCCTCATAACACCTTTTCCCTCCCATTCTCACCCAGAGTTGGGCTGGTCACAGCCTTGTGATGTATGGAGTATAGGCTGCATCATCTTTGAGTACTATGTGGGATTCACCCTCTTCCAGGTAAGTGATGGGATATCTTACTTGACCACCTGGCATTCTTCTACCTGGTTGCTTTGTTGTCTGCTGAGGACCTGCCTACTCAGTTCTCCACATTGTCCATCTTCCTGGCAGCTGGTCCTCAGCATGCCCTTTTCAGTCCCATGCTCAGTTCTGTTTTTGTTTCCCAGACCCATGACAACAGAGAGCATCTAGCCATGATGGAAAGGATATTGGGTCCTATCCCTTCCCGGATGATCCGAAAGACAAGGTGAACCTTGAGTGGGCACTAGTTAACCCTTTTCCTTTTCTCTCCACAGAATTGGTCTATTTCACATCAGTTTCTTTTTTCTTTGATGCCTCCTGTCCCCCCAGTTACTTTCAGATGGGGAAATAAGGGAATTGTAACAAAGGTGACCTTCTGATTCCTCAACCTCCCCTTCCCCTCTAGAAAGCAGAAATATTTTTACCGGGGTCGCCTGGATTGGGATGAGAACACATCAGCTGGGCGCTATGTTCGTGAGAACTGCAAACCGCTGCGGGTGAGCCAGGCTTGGGATAAATAGTGCCCACCATCCAGAAGTCACTTCTTAGGGTGGTTTGCCCCTGGAATGCTCTTCACAAGCAGAGGGTTAGGAAAGAAGGGGAGGAAAGCTGAAAGAAGACATCTTTGGTCAACAGAGGAAACATAAGAGGGAGTGGTTTTGTGGAGGGAAGGAGGTTAGACAGCCTAACCTTGAGACAACCAGAGATCAAAGCAATGTCCTGGATTCTTTAGGTCAGACAGAAAAGAATAAACTACCTTTGAAGAGCTTACATTTTAATGAGGAACTAAAGAAGATTCATGAAGTTGACAAGGATATACAAGTAGAAAGAACTTTCAAAGATTATGGAGTAATTGTGCTAGTGGGAAGGTAGGTTGAGCTATAATATCAGAAACGTTGGTCCTGGTGTGGTCGTGGTTAGGTAGCCTTCAAATTGGTTGCAAGCAGAGCCTTGGTTCTCCAAGAATGAAAGGTAGGGTCTTGAAGAAGGCAGGGTTTATAAGGCATCCTGCCTCACCTTTTCCTGCCCTCCTCCACCAGCGGTATCTGACCTCAGAGGCAGAGGAACACCACCAGCTCTTCGATCTGATTGAAAGCATGCTAGAGTATGAACCAGCTAAGCGGCTGACCTTGGGTGAAGCCCTTCAGCATCCTTTCTTCACCCGCCTTCGGGCTGAGCCACCCAACAAGTTGTGGGACTCCAGTCGGGATATCAGTCGGTGACGATCAGGCCCTGGGCCCCCCCTGCATCTTTTATAGCAGTGGGTGTCCAGTCCAGGACACTGGTGCTTTTTTATACAAGAGAACGAGCCAGAGTTCACTCCTTCCTCCTGGCTGGCTGTATACCTGTGAATATGTGAAATAGTGTAAATATGAAAGAACTTGTACCTATCACTTCAACCCCTGCCTTGTACATAATGCTCTTCCATCCACACAGTTTCCACCCTCACCTGCCCCCTCATACGGAGTTGGATGGGGACCGAGTGAGGTAACCAGGTGGCATCTACCCAATGTTTTATAAGGAATTTTGTACAGTCTTTGTGAAATAAAATAATGTGCTTCATTTGACCCCCATCCCTGGAGTTGGAGGTTTGGGAATGCTGGGGTGGAGGGATGAAACGATTGGCAAACTTTCTTGAGTTTTGGGTATGAAGGGAGTCCTTCTTACCCTCCAAAATTAAGCAGAGCCAGGCTACAAGTTTATTTCCCCTGTCCACCTTATAGGGGAGGATAGCGATGGGTGGGGCATTTCTTTCAGATTAGAATAGAGAAGTGTTACATGGTGGCACTTCTCGGATGTGGAATCATGAGAGTTGGGAAAGATCTGACTCCTAGAGTCTTTGGGCCGCGCCCCAGTATAGAGCCAGAAACCCAGGTTGAAAACGTTCTTAACCTGACTCCTAGGGGTTTGGCAGGGCCGGTCAGAAGGCTCCCGTCGTCCATTTCGAGACACAAGGAAGGCCGGATTCCTACACGAGGCCTGCTGGGAAGTGTAGTTCGTTAGTGGAAGGAAGTCACATGGAAGAGGGGCGGTACTTGGTTGTGGGCAGTGGGTTAGAGATATCACGTGGGGGCACTTCCGTCTTAGCTTTTGGCCAAGACGCACGCGCAACCCACGGCTGCTGCGGGGATCCTTGTGGCCTTTCCGGTCGGTGGAACCAATCCGTGCACAGAGAAGCGAGGCGAACTGAGGCGAGTGAAGTGGACTCTGAGGTCTACCTCTACCGCCACTGCTGCGGCAGGGGCGTGGAGGGAAGAGGGCCGCGGAGGTCGCAGTTGCAAACATGGCACAGAGCAGAGACGGCGGAAACCCGTTCGCCGAGCCCAGCGAGCTTGACAACCCCTTTCAGGTGACTTGCGCCGGTCGGCCTCTTTTGGGCAGTCAAGTTGATTCTTCCCGGTTCTGTAGGGTCGGGCTACCTTGTATCCCCATTAGTGACATTTGATCCTGGGAAGAGCCGCCACGTGGGGTGACAGCGACTCTAGACCAGTCAGCACTCGGGGGGGCGGGCCCTGCCCCTTAATGGGCTGGTGCTGGCAGTGTTTGATGATGGATTCGAGGTAAATGTTGTCCCAGTCCTGGGACAACGGCGTGACCCCGAAGGTGCAGTACTTGGAGCCACAGGCAGTTTGGGAATGCTCCCCGGGAATTCCCCTAAGTGGCACCGGGCGCCATCTGAGCCCCAGGTCTCTGCCCTCAGGACCCAGCTGTGATCCAGCACCGACCCAGCCGGCAGTATGCCACTCTTGACGTCTACAACCCTTTTGAGACCCGGGAGGTGAGCTACTGGAGAGCACAGGAATTCAAGGAAGGGGAGGGTTTGCCAGTGAGACAAGTCAGCCTGGGTACAGGGGACTTTTCTGCATGCACAGGAAGGAAGAGGCACTGTGATCTTAGTTCCCTGAGAGAGGCTAGTCAGCCATGGGATGTCTCATCCTTCTAGGGCCACCAGGGCCACCAACCCAAATGGTTTGAGCTCTAAAAGTCAGTCTTGGGAACATCTGGAGGCTGGCAAGGCTTTAACCAATGTTCTGTATGGGAAGGCTTTCTTGAAGAAAAAGGTTGGGACTGGTTGGAGTTTAGGTTAGGTGTGCAGTTTGAAAGCAAGGAATGAGGAGGACTACACCTGTTTGTCCCACTGGATTAGAAAATGGTGAGTTGTAAGAATTTAAGGGGTTTTCATGGTACTTAAAACTTAAAAAAAAAAGGGGGGGCGGGGGAGCCAAGCATGGTGTGCAAGCTTATAATCCCACTTGGGAGGCTGAGGTGGGAGGATTGCTTGAGCCCAGGAATTTGATGGAGACCATCCTGGGCAATGGCGAGACCCCCATCTCTTGAACTGTTTTAAAAATTGGCTAGGTGGCCGGGCGCGGTGGCTCACGCCTGTAATCCCAGCACTTTGGGAGGCCGAGGCAGGCGGATCACAAGGTCAGGAGATCGAGACCATCCTGGCAAACACGGTGAAACCCTGTCTCTACTAAAAATACAAAAAAAAAATTAGCTGGGTGTGGTGGCGGGCGCCTGTAGTCCTAGGTTCTCGGGAGGCTCAGGCAGGAGAATGGCGTGAACCTGGGAGGCGGCAGAGCTTGCAGTGAGCAGAGATCGCGCCACTGCACTCCAGCCTGGGCAACAGACCGAGACTCCGTCTCAAAAAAAAAAAAAAAAAAATTGACTAGGTGTAGTGGCACATGTCTGTAGTCCTTGCTACTTGGGAGGCTAGGATGGAAGGACTGCTTGAGCCCAGGAGTTTGAGGCTTCGATGAGTGATAATTGCACCACTGCACTCCAGCATGAGTGGCAGAGAGAGACCCCCACACCCCATCCCCAGAAGAAAAGGAAAAAAAAAAACAGTTAAATGGGGAGATGTGGTAGACGAGTGATTTGAGTCCTTGCTAAGGAAGTGGATATGAGGGATGATAAGGCTGCTACAGGTCATCATAGGGTTCTCTGACAGAAATTCAACAGAAGAACTAGTTTCCTAACAAATGGGGGAAAGGCTGCTTCCTTACATCATGAGTTCTGGGTCTAAAGGTATTCAAGCAGACTCTAGATTCCTGTGTTACGAGGGACTAGATGATCACTAAGGTCTTTTCCTCAACAGCCACCACCAGCCTATGAGGCTCCAGCCCCTGCCCCATTGCCTCCACCCTCAGCTCCCTCCTTGCAGCCCTCGAGAAAGCTCAGCCCCACAGAACCTAAGAACTATGGCTCCTACAGCACTCAGGTACCGGAGGTGTGCAGGTGAGGGCTGGGGAGAAGGGCCAGTCCTCGGGCCCAGGGCTCACATCTCTGTCTGCTCACACTGGGCAGGCCTCAGCTGCAGCAGCTACAGCTGAGCTGCTAAAGAAACAGGAGGAGCTCAACCGGAAGGCAGAGGAGTTGGACCGAAGGGAGCGAGAGCTGCAGCATGCTGCCCTGGGAGGCACAGCTAGTAAGTAGTAGAGTGGGGAAGAGCATCTAAGAGTTTGGGAGGAGCAAAAACAGGTCTTAAGAGCCTGGGCTCGGCCGGGCACAGTGGCTCACACCTATAATCCCAGCACTTTGGGAGGCTGAGGTGGGTGGTCAAGAGATCAAGATCATCCTGGCCATCATGGTGAAACCCTGTATCTACTAAAAATACAAAAAAAAAAAAAAAGTAGCTGGGCATGGTGGTGCACACCTGTAGTCCCAGCTACTTGGGAGGCTGAGGCAGGAGAATCGCTTGAACCCGGGAGGTGGAGGTTGCAGTGAGCCAAGATAGCACCACTGCACTCCAGCCTGCTGACAGAGTGAGACTCCATCTCAAAAACAAAACAAAACAAAAAAACTAGACTCTGGAGTCAGACTGCTGAGTTTGAATTTTGGAGATACTGCTTACTAACCATGAGCTTTTAGGGAAGTTACTTAATCTTGAGTGCCTCAGTTTCCCTATTTATAAAATGAAAACCATGTTTGCATCTGTTTGACAGGGTTGTTGTGAAGGTTAAACAAGATATATGTGAAGTGCTTGGCACAGTGCTTGGATGTTTTAAATAATAATAAACAGTATTAGTTTTTCCACTCTCCCTTGTCTCCTTGGACCCCAAATTGGAGATAAAAGAGAGGATCCAGGCCGGGCGCGGTGGCTCAAGCCTGTAATCCCAGCACTTTGGGAGGCCGAGACAGGCGGATCACGAGGTCAGGAGATCGAGACCATCCTGGCTAACACAGTGAAACCCCGTCTCTACTAAAAAATACAAAAAACTAGCTGGGCGAGGCGGCGGGCGCCTGTAGTCCCAGCTACTTGGGAGGCTGAGGCAGGAGAATGGCATGAACCCGGGAAGCGGAGCTTGCAGTGAGCTGAGATCCGGCCACTGCACTCCAGCCTGGGCAACAGAGTGAGACTCCGTCTCAAAAAAAAAAAAAAAAGAGAGGATCCAGGGCTGGATGTGGTGCCTCACGCCTGTAATTCCAACACTTTGGGAGGCTGAGGCAGGCAGGTTGCTTCAGCTCAGGAGTTAGAGACCAGCCTGGACAACATAGTGAGATCCTGTCTCCAAAACATTAAAGAAAAAAATTAGCAGGGCGTGATAGTATCTGTCTGTAGTCCTAGCTCTTCAAGAAGCTGAGGTGGATGGCCAGGTGCCGGGGCTCATGCCTGTAATCCCAGGACTTTGGGAGGCTGAGGCGGGTGGATCACCTGAGGTCAGGAGTTCAGGACCAGCCTGGCCAATGTGATGAAACCCTGTCTCTACTAAAAATACAAAAATTAGCTGGGCGTGGTGGCACGTGCCTATAATCCCAGCTACTTGGGAGGCTGAGGCAGGAGAATCGCTTGAACCTGGGAGGCAGAGGTTGCAGTGAGCCAAGATCACACCACTGCACTCCAGCCTGGGCAACAAGAGCGAAACTCCATCTCAGGAAAAAAAAAAAAAAAGAAAAGAAACTGAGGTGGGAGGGTTGTTTGAGCCCAGGAGGTTGAGGCTACAGTGAACCGTGATCATACCACTACCTTCCAGCCTGAACAACACAGTGAGACCCTGTCTCAAAAAAAAAAAAAAGAAAGAAAGAAAGAGGATCCAGGGATGGAGAGAAGGGCCAGTGATTCCTTTGTTGGTGTCTGCCTTACTTCTGGGGTCCCTCTGTTTTTCTTGTGCCTTACAGCTCGACAGAACAATTGGCCCCCTCTACCTTCTTTTTGTCCAGTTCAGCCCTGCTTTTTCCAGGACATCTCCATGGAGATCCCCCAAGAATTTCAGAAGACTGTATCTACCATGTACTACCTCTGGATGTGTGAGTAGTGAGAAGCCTTTTGGAGGAAGTTACAGGTAGATCTCTTAACTGCTCTGGGGTCCGCTCACCAAGAACCAAACACTTCACCTCTATTTAGAACTCACCAGCCTGCTAGCAAATGTTCCTGCCCTCTCCCCACTTTTTATTGTCCCTATGCATGAATATATTTTGAATTCTTTAGATGTCTTTGGGCTGGGCATGGTGGTTCACGCCTGTAATCCCAGCACTTTGGGAAGCCAAGGTGGGTGGATCACCTGAGGTCAGAAGTTTGAGACCAGCCTGACCAACATGGAGAAACCCCGTCTACTAAAAATACAAAATTACCCTTGCATGGTGGCGCATGCCTGTAATCCTAGCTACTCGGGAGGCTGAGGCAGGAGAATCACTTGAACCGGAGAAGTGGATGTTGCAGTGAGCCGAGGTCATGCCGTTGCATTCCAGCCTGGGCAACAAGAGCAAAACTCCGTCTCAAAAAAAAAAAAAAAGGCCGGGCGCGGTGGCTCACACCTGTAATCCCAGCACTTTGGGAGGCTGCAGATCACCTGAGGCCAGGAGTTCAAGACCCGCCTGAGCAACATGGCGAAACCCTGTCTCTATTAAAAACACAAAAATTGGGCCGGGCGTGGTGTCCATGTCTGTAGTCCCAGCTATTCGGGAGGCTGAGGCAGGAGAATGGCGTGAACCTGGGAGGCGGAGCTTGCAGTAAGCTGAGATTGCGCCACTGCACTCCAGCCTGGGCAACAGAGCGAGACTCCGTCTCAAAAAAAAAAAAAAAAAAAAAAAAAGTCTTTGCAAGGGGATCACACATTATTGAGATTTGCTTTCTCCATCTCCCCTGTTAAGGATTCCATGAAGGCGCAGTTGCCTTCCTTTCTTCGCTCTGCCATGTTTGGTGAATTAGTTACAGGGTGAGCATAGATGAGAAGGAGTCTTCATTGCAGTCCAGAAGGACTCCTCATCCTGTCCCTCTGCCCCTTAGGCAGCACGCTGGCTCTTCTCCTGAACTTCCTCGCCTGCCTGGCCAGCTTCTGTGTGGAAACCAACAATGGCGCAGGCTTTGGGCTTTCTATCCTCTGGGTCCTCCTTTTCACGCCCTGCTCCTTTGTCTGCTGGTACCGCCCCATGTATAAGGCTTTCCGGTAAGTGTGTTAGTGGTGAGAGAATGATGGAGACCTGGGATGGGCCCCACATCTGCCCATCCTTCAGTTCTAATTCTTCTTCCACTCTCCCCATTTTTTTCCTCTTTGTAGGAGTGACAGTTCATTCAATTTCTTCGTTTTCTTCTTCATTTTCTTCGTCCAGGATGTGCTCTTTGTCCTCCAGGCCATTGGTATCCCAGGTTGGGGATTCAGGTTTGTGAGGCTGTCATCCACCCTCACCTTTCCCTCTAGACCAAGCCAGCACTGGGTGCTGAGATAGGAGTTGTTCAGAAAAAGGAAATGTGGTTTTAATCCTTGGGAGGTACTAGTTTAATGGGATATAAGACATACTTCCAGGATAGAGCGCAGACAGCACTCTTGACTCATGTAGATTGAAGGGAAGAATGCTGCATTTGGCTAATCCGAGGTGGCCTCCTGGAGGAGACACAGAACCATAGTTGAAAGGAGGAAGAAGAATCCCCAGATGAGTGCCTGGAAGAGCTTGGAGAGCTCAGGGCTAATGGTTCAGAAACTGGAATTAAACTATGAAGAGAGTAGATATAGTTTGGGATTGTGGTGCTTGGAATACTGCCAGATTGACAGGGGAGCCACTACTGATGGGAAGGGTAGGAACAGGGGATGTTGGTGGCATAACCAGTGGAGAAGCTGAGGAGCCCTACTTCACTGGCACCTCCTTCCCCTCCTTACAGTGGCTGGATCTCCGCTCTGGTGGTGCTGAAGGCCAACACAGCAGTAGCCGTGCTCATGCTGCTGGTCGCCCTGCTCTTCACTGGCATTGCTGTGCTGGGAATTGTCATGCTGAAACGGGTGAGGGCTGTGTTGAAGGTGGGGCTGGGAGGGTGAGATCATGGGTCCCCAGGGGCCTGGGTGGAACATTCAGGAGCAACCAGCACAGGTCAGGCTGCTGGGTGGTTCTCAGCTAATGGACCTCTGGGGTGTGTGTTTTTGTGTGTGAGTGTGTATGCTGGGCAGCAGGCTGCTGAGTGGTAGTGATGCTGTTAGGCTGGGGTGGGGAACCAGTGGCTGGAATGTGCTGCAATGCCTTTGTCCTCTACTTGCAGATCCACTCCTTATACCGCCGCACAGGTGCCAGCTTTCAGAAGGCCCAGCAAGAATTTGCTGCTGGTGTCTTCTCCAACCCTGCGGTGCGAACCGCAGCTGCCAATGCAGCCGCTGGGGCTGCTGAAAATGCCTTCCGGGCCCCGTGACCCCTGACTGGGATGCCCTCGCCCTGCCACTTGAGGGAGCTGACTTAGCTCCCGTCCCTAAGGTCTCTGGGACTTGGAGAGACATCAGTACCTGATGGCTCCTCCGTAGTGCTCCCAATCCTATGGCCATGACTGCTGAACCTGACAGGCGTGTGGAGAGTCCACTGTGACCTAGTCCCCCCATCAGGCCACACTGCTGCCACCTCTCACACGCCCCAACCCAGCTTCCCTTTGCTGTGCCACAGCTGTTGCTTCGGTTATTTAAATAAAAAGAAAGTGGAACTGGAACTGACATCCCCGTTTCCTGAATCTTCATTGGGAATTAGGCCTTATGAAAGAGGAGAGTGTGGAGTGAGGTGGGAAGGTCGGACCCGGCTTTAGTGTAAACTGGGAGATAGGAGGGGCAGGGCGGTGGAGCCCCGGTGGCTAGGGCAGGAAGGAGGTGGGAAGTCCACGGAAACGCGAAACCGGGAGACGCCAGGGAGCCCTGCTCCCCACCCCTCTCCATTAATGACGGGGAAGAGCCACCGCCTCTGCCGGGAATGCCAAGGAATACACGGGCCTGGAGCCTGAAAAGCTGGGTGGGGCTCAAGTGGACGCCCAAAGGATCATTAGCAGCCTAGCCAGGGTCCAGAGAGAGGAAGCGACCGGTGGATGCAGATCCAACTGCCTAGCCCTGCCGCGGGATCCCCCCAACCCCGACCCCTGACAGGGTCTCAGTCCCGAACTACAACTCCCGGGGTGCACCGCGCCGGCCCTCGCCGCCACGCCCCTCCATCCCGCACCATCCCCATTCCCATCCCCCTCTAGTCCCCGACCTGCGGCAGCCGGAGCTCAGGGAGCGGAGCGTGGTGGGGAGGCGAGCGGGACAAGCGACACAGGAGACAGCGGCGCCGCGGCCTCTCCCCACCAGGCGGCCCCGGATCCCACTGGACACCCTGAGGGCACACTGACCCCTCCCCTCTTCTCTAGACTTCTTTCCATCCTTCCCACTTTTACCCTCCCCATCCCTCCCTGGGCTCTGAGCCGCCGCCCCCTCCTCACTCCTGGACTGGCCCTTCTCGGTGCCCCTGTTTCCTAGGGAGATGCGATGAGCCGGTGCCCCCGCGTCCTCATCGTCGCCCCGGGCACGGTGCCCATCCAGTGCCCGTGGTGGGGAGGGAGCACTCCGCGGTCCCTCCGTGACGCCCCTCCCTTGGCTTCCCCCACAGCTGGCGTCCCTCGGCCATGCCCCAGGGGACCCAGCCAGGGGGTGGGCTGTAGAGCGAGGGAGGTGGAGAGGAGAAAGGACGGGGCCTTGGGCACCTCTGAGATGCTCCCAAGTGCCAGGGAGGGCCGAGCGAGGCGCAGGCAACCGGGCAGCAGGCATGATGCCCTCGCCTAGTGACTCCAGCCGCTCGCTGACCAGCCGGCCCAGCACCAGGGGCCTTACCCACCTCCGCCTCCACCGACCCTGGCTGCAGGCCCTGCTTACGCTGGGGCTGGTCCAGGTGCTCCTGGGCATCCTGGTGGTCACCTTCAGCATGGTGGCCTCTTCCGTCACCACCACTGAGAGCATCAAGAGGTCCTGCCCGTCTTGGGCTGGGTTCTCGGTGAGTTGGGTGCACAGTTGTTGGGTGCACAGTTGTTGGGTGGGGGAGGCTCCTCGGGCCCCACCCTCCACACCAGCTGCAAGTCCACATCCTCGCCTCTCCTCCCTCTCCTGGTCCTCTGCCTCCTTACAGGGCTGGGTGCATCCTGTGGTGAGGGGCTCACTCAGGAGCCTCCCCTGCCAGGCTGAGCCTGTGCCCACTCTGTCCCCAGCTGGCGTTCTCCGGGGTGGTTGGCATTGTGTCCTGGAAGCGGCCATTCACTCTAGTGGTAGGTGCCAGGGTCCAGTGCCCACTGGGAGGCAGGTGCCCAGCACCCAAGGGGAAGCCCATTTATGCCCTCAAGAAGGGAACTGACTCCCCAGTTGGTGCCAGCCGGGTGGGCACGAAATGTCTGTGAAGGAGGGGGACTCTGTCCATGGCAGAGTAGTAGTCATGAGGGTCCCAGCCCTGAGTCTGCACCCTGTTTTCCCCAGATCTCCTTCTTCTCCTTGCTTTCGGTGCTCTGTGTCATGCTTAGCATGGCTGGCTCTGTACTGTCCTGTAAGAATGCTCAACTGGCCCGAGACTTCCAACAGTGCTCTCTGGTGAGATTTGAGGAGGGAGAGCTGGAAAGAACTGGCCTGGGGAGGTGTGCAGGACACCTGAGTTTGTCCTGACTCAGGCTGCCTCACCCTCCCTGCTCCACTCAGGAAGGAAAGGTCTGTGTGTGCTGTCCCTCTGTTCCCCTCCTCCGGCCCTGTCCAGAGTCGGGGCAGGAACTGAAAGTTGCCCCTAACTCCACCTGTGATGAAGCCCGAGGGGCCCTCAAGGTGAGCTTGTACCCCACAAATATCCTCCTGGTTCTCACTCTTGCCTCCCTTCCTGGGGTACTCACAGGCCCATAATGTATGGGACTTAGCCCTCTCCTGATTCCTCTCCTCCTTTCCCTTCCCCAGAACCTGCTCTTCAGCGTCTGTGGGCTCACCATTTGTGCCGCTATAATCTGTACCCTCTCTGCTATTGTCTGCTGCATCCAAATCTTCTCCCTGGACCTCGTGCATACGGTGAGAGGGGAGCGGGGGCCAGGGCCACACAGGTATGGTAGGGGCAGGGGTGTGTGTGCTGAGACTTGCCTGAGGGAACAATGGCTACAGATGTGGCTTTTGAGCACCAGGGGCTATGGGTTATCTATTATCCTCATCTATTGGAGGAATGGATGTTTAATGGGGAGGATGAGAAGGGGAGATGGCAGGGAGTGACTTAAGTATGTGATGCCCATCTGGGACCAGGAGAGGGGGCTTTAGAGAATGGGACTGGATGGTGGGGTAGAGTCAAGAAAGTCCTAGGCTGGGCACGGTGGCTCATTCCTGTAATCCCAGCACTTTGAGAGGCCAAGGCAGGCAGATCACCTGAGGCCAGGAGTTCAAGACCCGCCTGAGCAACATGGCGAAACCCTGTCTCTCTTAAAAACACAAAAATTGGGCCGGGCGTGGTGGCTCATGCCTATAACCCCAGCACTTTGGGAGGCTGAGGCAGGCGGATCACCTGAGATCAGGAGAATGAGACTATCTTGGCTAACATGGTGAAACCCCGTCTCTATTAAAAACACAAAAAATTAGCCAGGCGTGGTGGCACGCACCTGTAGTCCCAGCTACTCGGGAGGCTGAGGCAGGAGAATGGCGTGAACCCGGGAGGCGGAGCTTGCAGTGAGCTGAGATCCGGCCACTGCACTCCAGCCTGGGTGACAGAGCGAGACTCCGTCTCAAAAAACAAACAAACAAAATATAAAAATTAGCCAAGTGTGGTGGCAGGTGCCTGTAATCCCAGCTACTTGGGAGACTGAGGCAGGAAAATTGCTTGAACCTGGGAGGCAGAGGCTGGAGTGAGCTGAGAGGCAGGAGGATCACCAGATATCAGGAGTTTGACACCAGCCTGGCCAACATGGCGAAACCTTGTCTCTACTAAAAATACAAAAATGAGCTGGGCGTGGTGGCTGGCGCCTGTAATCCCAGCTATTCGGAAGACTGAGACTGGAGAATTGCTTGAACCTGGGAGGCGGAGGTTGCAGTGAGCTGAGATCGAGCCATTGTACTCCAGCCTGGACGACAAGAGCGAAACTTCGTCTCAAAATAATAATAATAATTAGCTGGGCATGGTTGCATACCCTTATAATTCCAGTTACTCGGGAGGCTGAGGCACAGGAATCGCTTGAGCCTGGGAGGTAGGGGTTGCAGTGAGCTGAGATCATGCCACTGCACTCCAGCAACAGAGTCAGACTCTGTCTCAAAAATAAAAAAAAGAAGGTCCTAGATGGAGGTGAGGCTAAAGGGTGGACATTCCTGTGAAGACACAGTGGGTGAAGCTTCTGGATGGAGGTGGGGCCATAAAGAAGAGGAATTTGTGGGTGGGCAAGGCCGGAGCTAGACGTACAGGACGAGTGTGGGGTTAAGGAGAGCTGATTTGGGGTGAGGGAGGAGCCAGAACTAGAGCTTCTCTCAGGGGATAGGGCCAGAAAAAATAATGTAGATGAGAGAGGAGTTTGGGGGCCTAGAAGGAGCTATATTCCTAGCATCCAGACTTGCTGACCTGCTTGCTTCCCCAGCAGCTGGCCCCTGAGCGGTCAGTCTCAGGCCCACTGGGACCTCTGGGCTGCACGTCTCCACCCCCAGCCCCTCTCCTACACACCATGCTGGACCTGGAGGAATTTGTCCCGCCTGTGCCTCCACCACCCTACTATCCCCCAGAGTACACTTGCAGCTCAGAAACAGATGCACAGAGGTAAGGCCTGGTGGGGTCTTGCTGGGAGAGCTAAGGAAGGGGACTGGGGCTGGGCCTGGGTTGCTGGAGAGAGGGATCTTTGTGGAGTGGGAGTTATTTTCCTACATTGACCCTCTTCCTCATCTGCCAGCATCACGTATAATGGCTCCATGGACAGCCCAGTGCCCTTGTACCCTACCGACTGCCCCCCTTCTTATGAGGCAGTCATGGGGCTACGAGGAGACAGCCAGGTGAGAGCACAGCATGGCTTGGGATGGGCTGGGGAGCTGGGGTCTAGCCTGGAAAGCTGAACAGGCTGTAGCCTCTGGATACATATAGTAACAGTGGTCAAGGTCTTTACAGCACCAGCATGCCCGCTGTCGCCTTTGATCTTCCCTAGAGCCTGGTGAGGTGGGTGGGTTAGAAGCTATCATTTCTGCCATACAGACGCGGAAACTGAGGCTGCACAATTAAGTGACTTATACAAAGTGACAAGGCTAGTCTGGAACCTGAGTTTCCAGAGCTCTGTCTAGCACGTGGGGGTGTTCAGTGTGTAGGGTTGAACCCTTGATCCTGTGTCTTCTGCAGGCCACTCTCTTTGACCCTCAGCTTCACGATGGCTCCTGCATCTGTGAGCGAGTGGCCTCCATTGTAGACGGTGAGCAGGGCGTAAGGAGGGGTGGACAAGGGTAGTGCTGCCAGGCATAGCTGGGGTGGGTAGGGACAATAGAAGGGGAAAACAAGGCGGAGTTGGTGGTTTGGGGACAGAGGAGGGCTGTGGCAACTTGGAACCCTGGACTTATTTGTCTCCCGTGAGATAAAGCTGGAGGCACAGTGGCCCCTAGAGGCTGGGCTTGGGAAAAGAGCAACTGCCTGGGCAGGGCCCAGCCAGGCTGGTGCTACACAGCGCCCCCTGCCGCCCACAGTGTCCATGGACAGCGGGTCTCTGGTGCTGTCAGCCATTGGTGACCTCCCTGGGGGCTCTAGCCCGTCGGAGGACTCGTGCCTGCTGGAGCTGCAGGGCTCCGTGCGCTCCGTGGACTACGTGCTCTTCCGCTCCATCCAGCGCAGCCGTGCCGGCTACTGCCTCAGCCTGGACTGTGGCCTGCGGGGCCCCTTCGAGGAAAGCCCCCTGCCACGGCGCCCCCCACGGGCCGCCCGCTCCTATTCCTGCTCTGCCCCTGAAGCTCCACCCCCACTGGGTGCCCCCACAGCTGCCCGCAGCTGCCACCGGTTGGAGGGCTGGCCGCCCTGGGTGGGACCCTGCTTCCCCGAGCTGAGGCGGCGGGTCCCCCGGGGAGGGGGCCGCCCAGCCGCAGCTCCGCCCACCCGAGCCCCTACTCGTCGCTTTAGCGATAGCTCAGGTTCCCTCACCCCCCCGGGGCACCGGCCTCCTCATCCGGCATCCCCACCACCGCTGCTGCTGCCTCGGTCCCACAGCGACCCAGGCATCACCACCTCCAATGACACTGGTGAGCCCCCTCCCCCACTGCCCAGGCTCAGGAGATGGTAGGCACTGGGAGTTAGGTGGCCAGTGATGCCCACCAGGATTGGGGCACTGTTGAGGTCCCTGAGGAGGAAGAAAGGGCGAGTTCACTCCTCTGGTAGACACTTCTCGGGTACTCACCTCCTAGGGACAGAACATCCATAGCATGATCTCGGCTCACTGCAACCGTGTTTCCCGGGTTCAAGTGACTCTCCTGCCTCAGCCTCTCGAGTAGCTGGGACTACAGGCGTGCGCCACCACGACTGGCTAATTTTTGTATTTTTTAGTAGAGACAGGGTTTCACCGTTTTGGCCAGGCTGGTCTTGAACTCCTGACCTAAAGTGATCCACCCACCTCAGCCTCCCAAAAGGATTTGTTTTTTGAAACCAGTTCCACAGCTCTCAGCTTGGTCCACTTATCTGTCCTCCCCAAGCTTCAGCCCCCACTTGTAAAACATGTATAATAATAGTACTTCAGGCTGGGCACAGTGGCTCACACCTGTAATCCCAGCACTGTGGGAAGCTGAGGTGGGTGGATCACCTGAGGTCAGGAGTTCGAGACCAATCTGGCCAACATGGCGAAACCCCCATCTCTACTAAAAATTCAAAAATTAGCCAGGCTTGGTGGTGGACGCCTGTAATCCCAGCTACTAGGGAGGCTGAGGCAGGAGAATCGCCTGAACCTGGGAGGCGGAGGGTGCAGTGAGTCATGATTGCGCCACTGCACTCTGGCCTGGGCAACAGTGAGACTCCATCTCAAAAACAGTAAGAAAGGAGATAGTACTGGGGTACGCTCAGCACTGCGCGCCAGGTGCTGAACACCACCGCTGCAGTCCCTGTTGTGGTGGATCGTGCCATCTAGGTGCTGGCTAATATGGACAGAGATGCTGGCCCTTTGATTGAGGATGGAGCACGGGAGCTGTGAAAGCTCCTCTGGGTTTGAGTTCCCACAGGAGGGTGGGTGTGTCCACAGAACACTCCCACTCACTTCCTGTCTCCCTTTCTTCTCCTCAGCTGACTTCAGGGACCTTTATACCAAAGTGCTTGAGGAAGAAGCTGCTTCTGTTTCCTCTGCAGATACAGGTCAGCCATGTGGTTTTTACCCCAGGGGTGGGGGATTGGGCATGGCTGCCCGGCCCCCCCTCCACCCCACAATACCATTCTCTTATCTCTGTTTCTCTGCAGGGCTCTGCTCTGAAGCCTGCCTCTTCCGCCTGGCCCGCTGCCCTTCCCCCAAGTTGCTACGTGCCCGGTCAGCTGAGAAACGGCGCCCTGTGCCCACCTTCCAAAAAGTTCCCCTGCCCTCAGGCCCTGCACCTGCCCACTCCCTGGGGGACCTAAAGAGCAGCTGGCCAGGTCGGGGCCTGGTCACTCGTTTCCTCCAGATATCCAGGAAAGCCCCAGACCCCAGTGGGACTGGAGCTCATGGACATAAGCAGGTGAGAATTCGGGGAGCCAGGAAAGATGTTTGGGAAAGCACGGAGCTTCAGGTTGGGCCTTACTGATGATGCCCTTTCTCGTGTCCCTGTCCAGATGCCCCGGAGCCTGTGGGGCCGGCCTGGCCGAGAGAGCCTCCACCTTCGCAGCTGCGGAGATCTGAGCTCTGGCTCTTCCCTGCGGCGTCTCCTGTCTGGCCGCAGGCTGGAGCGTGGTACCCGCCCCCACAGCCTCAGCCTCAACGGGGGCAGCCGGGAGACTGGGCTCTGACCTGGGCTTCTTGTCACACTGAACACATCCAGATGAATGCTGGGGCCACAGGCACCAGCTGGTTGGGACCAGCAGCCCCCAGCATCCTCTTGCACTGGCTGGCACAAAAAGAAACCTGCTGTATACCTCCCGAAGTGTCCCTTTCCTTCCTACCTCTGGGGTCTCTTGCTGCTTGCCTCTGCTGCTCTGGACTGGGAGAGCTTTTGTCCTGTGCTGCATGGGTATTTAGGCTGTGGGGGAGATGCCCCTGCTTATAGCACTGGAGGAGGAAAACAAATTCTTGTTCCCCCAGCATGAGAGTGGCTCCTTCTCATTTGCAAGGGCACTATGGTCAGGGCAAAGGCATGGCCCAGGTGTTTAAGTACAGGGGGACGTGTGCCTATGCAATGGGGTGGTAAGGCAGGCACAAAGAGTCCAAAAAATCTAGGTGGCCTCTCAGCTCTGCCACCTCTAGCTGCATGACCTTGGGCAAGCTATGTAACCCCAATTTCCTGATCCATTAAAGATTGTGAAGGTAGAATGTTTGTAAAGCTCTGAACAGTATGTGAGCCTTCAATAAATTTCAATTTTCCCCTTCTTTTCTTGATCATTCTTTATCACCAGTGAAATTTTTCTAGTGTCTGTCATATTTAAGAAAACTCTTTCAGGGCTCGGTATGGTGGCTCATGCCTATAATCCCAGCACTTTGGGAGGCCGAGGCAAGAGGATCACTTGAGCCTAGGAATTCAAGACCAGCCTGGGCAACATAGTGAGACTCTGTCTCTACACAAAACAGAAAAAATTAGCCAGGCATGGTGGGACACGCCTGTAGTCCCAACTACTCGGGAGGCTGAGGTGAGAGGATCACTTGAACTTGGGAAGTCCAGGCTGCAGTAAGCTGTGATTGAGCCACTGCACTACAGCCTGGGCAACAGAGCAAGACCATGTCTCAAAAAAAAAAGAAAAAAGAAACTTTCAAGACACTCTTTCCAACCACTAATTGTAACTCTGCTCCTTTTAACAGCAATAGATTTTCCTTTTCTTCCCTCCACTCTTAAACATCCATTCTCTCCTCACCCACCCCCATGAGACTCCTTCCCCTATCTTTCCCCAGCCACTGCTCTGACCAAACTTTCCAGTGACCAAAGTGGTGTCAGACCCAGTGACCATTTCTCTGCCTGCATCTCACTTGACCTCGAGGCAGCAATTAATACCCATAATCAGCATCTTCTTGGATTTGTCCCTTTGAAAAGCGAAATACTGGCTTTTATACTTTCTCCTGCTGAGCTGGTTAACATTGGAGGGCCCCAGGGCCCTCACCTAAGCCCTCTTTCCTACCTCCACTCTTTCTGTAGGTGGTCCTACTATTAAGGTCCATGGCTTTAAATACCATCTTTCTATGTGTTAATGCATAACTCCAGCCTTGACCTCTCATGAGCACCATCCAACTCAGCATATCTGCTTGGATGTCTAATGGGCATTTCAGATTCAACATGGCCACAACTGAACTCTTGATTCCACCCCAGCATCTGTTATTTTTCCACTGTTCCCATCTCAATGGTACCTCCATTACCCACTTGCACATTCCAAAAGCTCAGGAACCATGGTGACTTATTTTCCCATATCCAACACAACCAATCCTATCCTGAATTCATCCATGTCCCACCACCTCCCCAGCTACCTAGCTCCAGCCACCCCCTCTCCACAACCTCTGAATCAGTCTCTCACTTTTCCCAGCAATCCATTCTCCACTCAGCAAAATGATAAAGCATGACATATCAAGGCTCAGCCTCAATTTAATGGCTTCCCATTGTATTTAGAATCATCTCCAAACTCCCAGAGACTACGGTCAGCTACAGTCTGGTCCACTTTCTATTCCAGCCAAATTTCCTCACAGCACAAGGATGTTTGCACCTGCTGTTTTCCAAGCATGAAACCTTCGGCCCCTATATCTGGTGCTGTCATCTAATGTCAGGTTTTAGCTCCATTCTTACCATTTCAGTAAGCACCCAATCCCCATCCCCGTCATTCTATCACATAGCCATGTTTTTTTGTTTGGCTTTTTTTTTTTTTTTTTTTTTTTTTTTTTTGAGACGGAGTCTCACTCTGTCGCCCAGGCTGGAGTGCAGTGGCCGGATCTCAGCTCACTGCAAGCTCCGCCTCCCGGGTTCACGCCATTCTCCTGCCTCAGCCTCCCGACTAGCTGGGACTACAGGCACCCGCCCCCACGCCCGCCCAGCTAAGTTTTGTATTTTTACTAGAGATAGGGTTTCACCATGTTGGCCAGGCTGGTCTCAAACTCCTGACCTCAAGTAATCCGCCTGCCTCGGTCTCCCAAAGTGCTGGGATTACAGGCTTGAGCCACCGCGCCCGGCCGGTTTTGTCTTTTTTTGAAACAGGGTCTTGCTCTGTTACCCAGGCTGGAGTGCAGTGGTGTGATTTGGGTTCACTGCAATCTTCCACCTCCTGGGTTCAAGCAATTCTCCTGACTCAGCCTCCCGAGTAGCTGGGATTACAGGCACCCGTCCCCACGCCCGCCCAGCTAAGTTTTGTATTTTTACTAGAGATAGGGTTTCACCATGTTGGCCAGGCTGGTCTCAAACTCCTGACCTCAAGTAATCCGCCTGCCTCGGTCTCCCAAAGTGCTGGGATTACAGGTGTGACCCACCGCGCCTGGCCACATAGTCATGGTTTGAGCATGTATCACTATCTAACATTATTTTTTGTTTATATATTTGTGTCGTCCCATAGAATGCTAAGGTCCCAAGATCAGGGACTTGCTCATTGCACTGGCTCTAACACTCAGTATGTCCTCAACAAACACTCGTTAAGATACTAACGTGGCAGGGTGGGGCCTTGTAAACAGCTTCAGGACCCTGTGCTTTAGGAGCAACGTGGTGCCCTACAAGGAAGACAGGGAGGATGCAGGAGCACTGCCCAGAGATGGCGTCAGGCTGCAAGACTTCTTGAATAATTCACCATCATAACAACCCAGCCTCAGGAAGGGCTGGGGCACAGCCAGGACGAAATATTAGGAGGCGGCGGACACTGGGATTCCCACGGGGCAGCTTCTGGGCATTGGACGTTCCCTAACCTGAGGCTCTCTAAAGAGGAAGGTTACGAATCCGCTGAACTCCAGTGGGCTGAACTCGCTCTGGGAATTCAATCGCCCCCATCCACCACGGGGGCAAGAAATCGCCGACACGCATGTGTAGTTCTCGCGTTCTGGGCCCTCTCCCTTTCCAAATACGCTTGCGCCCATCTGGGCTACGGCTGGCCAGCGAGAGTTGTCCGTCTTCAGTTTGACCAATGAGACTTGGGAAAGGGCTCTGAGTCCCGCCTCTGGACGAGAGACCGTCTCTTTTCCAAGCGACGCCCCGCCCCGCCTCCCCAGGGGTGCTTTTGTCGCGGCTGCGGGTGGTGGGGCTGCATCCTGGCTTCCGCGTTTTACTGCGCGCGGCCCCAGTCTCCAGTCCCGCCCACGCGCCTTTGCAGCCTGTGGTGGGATTTCCTTTTGCCTCCGGTTGGGGCTGCTGTTTCTCTTCGCCGACGGTAGGCGTAATGAATATTTCGACCTTTGGATCTTAGCTGTCCCCTCCCTGCGTTCCCACTTAACCTTTTTCACCATTATTATTATTATTATTATTTTTTTTTTTTGACGGAGTCTCGCCGTGTCGCCCACGCTGGAGTGCAACGGCGCCTTCTTGGCTCACTGCAACCTCCACCTCCCGGGTTCAAGCCATTCTCCTACCTCAGCCTCCCAAGTACGTGGGATTATAGGCACCCGCCACACCTACGGCTACTTTTTTGTATCTTTTGGTAGAGACGGGGTTTCACCATGTTGGTCAGGCTGGTCTCCAGTTCCTGACCTCGTGATCCGCCCGCCTCGGCCTCCCAAAGTGCTGTGATTATAGGCGTGAGCCACCGCGCCCGGCCAACCATCATTATTATTTTTAACGGTAAGGATGGTCAAATTTTACTAATGAAGAAGAGATTATAAAATCTTCAAGTCCTTATATCCACTTGCTTTTTGAGGGGTGGAGTGGGAAGAAGATTATATAATTCATGCATTCTTCAGACATGTGACAAACATTCACGGAGCGCAGCTACGAGCGCCGGGGTTGGGATGCACACTGGAGCTGCAGATGGGTGCCAGGATGGACTGGTCGCTACCCTGCCTGCTGACGATCAGGCCATTGTTTTTGATGAACTGGGCGCTATAACTGCCATTAAGCCATTTGTACAATTAATCACAACAGTGATAAGAGCGACAAAGGAGCTACTCGGGAGTCCAAGTCGGGAGGACCGCATGAGGCCCAGATTTCGAGACCAGCCTGAGCGATAGAGCAAGACACTGTCTCAAAAAAGGCGGGGAGGACCGCATGAGGCCCAGATTTCGAGACCAGCCTGAGCGATAGAGCAAGACACTGTCTCAAAAAAGGCGCAGCGAGAGGGGTGGTAGTGACAAATATGTGAAGGCCAAGAGTTTGTGTTACAGGAGGTGTGGGGTTGGGGCCGCCTGGGGCGAGGTTCTTAGAGAAAGTTACATCCGGGCTGAATTCTGAAAGAATAAGTGTTAACTAGGCTAAGTGGTGGGGAAGAGTGGGGTGTGCTGAAGGAAGGGATGAAAACCCTGGCAAATCCATGGCAGGAGTAATTGGATGCTGGTATCCCTCCACACTCGCCTTCTACAGTCTTATTTCTAAGCAGCAGCTAACGTGATCATTTAAAAATACACATCTGGGCCAAGTGCGGTGTCACATGCCTGTAATCCCAGCACTTTGGGAGGCTAAGGCAAGTGGATCACCTGAGGTCAGGAGTTCGAGACAAGCCTGGCCATCATGGTGAAACCCCGTCTCTACCAAAAATACAAAAATTAGCCGGGCATGGTGGTGTGCGCCTTTAATCCCAGCTACTTGGGAGGCTGAGGCAGGAGAATCACTTGAACCCGGGAAGTGGAAGTTGCAGTGAGCCGAGATCATGGTGCCGCTGCACTCCAGCCTGGGTGACAGAGTGAGACTCTGTCTCAAAATAAGTAAATAAATAAAATAATAAAAATACACATCTGATCTTGTCACTTCTCCTGCACCAAGTTCTACAGTGAATTTCCATCTTAGAACATAATTCAGGTTACTGTGGCCACCAAGACCTACATGATCTGGCCTCCAGCTTCCTTCTCCAAGGTCTCTTTTTACTGCTGTCTGTCTCACTCACATTGCTCCAGGACTTTCTACACTTTCACTTTATTTTTCTTTGTTTTCTTTCTTTCTTTCTTTCTTTTTTTGAGACAGGGGTCTTGCTCTGTCACCTAGACTGGAGTGCAGTGGTGTGATCACGGCTCACTGCAGCCTCCGCCTTCTAGATTCAAGCAATTCTGCCTCAGCCTCCTGAGTAACAATACAGGCAGGCGCCACCGGGCCCAGCTAATTTTTGTACTTTTAGTAGAGACAGGGTTTCATCATGTTGTCCAGGCTGGTCTTGAACTCCTGACCTCAAGTGATCTGCCCACCTCGGCCTCCCAAAGCGCTGGGATTACAGGCGTGAACCACCGTGTCTGGCCCACTTTATTTTTCTTCTTAGCTATCACCTGAAATTATCTGGTTTTTTGTT